TGGAGAGATGGCTCAGTGGTTAAGAGCATTGCCTGCTCTTCCAAAGGTCCTGAGTTCAATTCCCGGCAACCACATGGTGGCTCACAACCATCCGTAATGAGGTCTGGTGCCCTCTTCTGGCCTGCAGACATACACACAGACAGAATATTGTATACATAACAAATAAATAAATAAATATTTAAAAAAAAAAGAATTCCTTCAGAGGCCAGAACAGACATTGGATCCACTGGAACTGGAGTTACAGACAGTTGTAAGCCATTGTATGGTTGCCAGGAAACAAACCAGACCTCTGGAAGAGCAGTCCATGTTCTTAACCACTGAGCTACCTCTCCAGCTCCATTTTAGGGAAGTCTTTTGGGTAAGCTGATACTTGCCATTTTTAGGCTGGCCAGGCCTCCTTCTGGTTGTCCCCTTGACAACTGAATGAGACACAAGAACTTTATATTCCTGTCCTATTTTCCTTGGGTATAAAACAAGAACCTCAGAAAACCAGGTCTCTGATGTCATTTCTAGCTCTGAAATAAGGAGCTTGTGGGTAGAATTCTAAGATGGTGCTGAGCTGCCCCACACAGGGCTAGCTCTTAAGTGGGGTGTGCTTCTCACCCACAGAAGTAAAGAGCTGCTCAACTAGGAATTCCCAGAATTGTATACTACACTGCTAGACTAGAGCATTGCTCTTGGATTCTTGAAATTCAAAATATATTCATGTATATTCGTTCTCCAATCTCATTGGCAGAAGGGCCATGTCTGTCTTCGTTAGGTCATGTGAAGAGGGACTCATAACAAACTATGTAATTAACTACTACCACAATAGTTACTACTACCTGGTATTTCTCCCCGCCCCCCCCCCATTATCCCTTCCCTTCCTTCTTTCCTTTCTTTTTTTCTCCACCCCCCTCTCCCCCAACTCCTGCTATGATGTTGGAGATCAAACCCAGGGCCTAGTGCATTCCAGGCAAATAATCAACCTCTGAAGTACACTCCAGAAGCTACTGTCAATTTTAATATCATTAAAACAAAAGGTGGTTATAGATAAATCAAAATGCAGAATCTATAGATTTTCAGCTTTCCCCGGGCTTTTGTGTCTGCTTCTCCCACACCTGATTTGACAGCAACTCTGAGTGACTCACCTCTACAGTCTTTTTAAAGTATTCAACATTGTTTCCCTAGAAACAAGAGTGCGATTTCCTTTTACATTCCTATTCTTACAGTTTAATTAAGCGATAAGTCAGGCTTTGTCATTTCTCTTCCCTTGCACTTCTAATGGTTCACCCACCTCTGCTGAAAAGAGAAGCAAAATCCAGACCAAGGCTGGACACTCCACTCCGTCCCCTGCCCACCCTCCCTCCTGGCTTCCACTCCAGCTGCCTTCTGCCTTGGGTATCTGCAACAGCTGTTTGACCTCCAGGTACCCGACAAATGGCCAAGGGAATTCTGACTCACTCTTGACATTCACCTTTAACCCTCTAAATGTCCTTCTCCTTGATGTCTACAGGTTCAGTCCTAGAAGAGCCTCTTCCAGGTCTTGCTTCAAATGTCACTTTTTCATCCTAGTTAAAGTGATAAACCCCAGCTGAGTCCTTTCCATTTTCCCATCCTACACTTCTTTATTTTTCTTGCTTCTTCCAGTTCTTGAAAGCATATCTGACGTACAATTTGAACTTCAAGATGGCGGAGATTTTCATTTGTTCATTGATGTTCGCCAGGACCTAGACCAGCATGTCCAGTGTCCCGTTAGGTAAGTAGATAGTATTTGTTGTGGTAATTACTGTCTGCCTCTCTGACTGAACTGCATAAATACAATGCTAAGTACTTCAAGTACTTAGGGCTGGAGCAGGGTGAGGAACAAAGATAGTGAAGTCTTGGGGCAAAGATGGCGGCTGGAGGGTGCTCATGAGTGCGGGTTTAGTTGATGCAGGAAACCACTCTACTAGGCGTGACCCGCAGGGCGTGGACAGACAGGAATCAAGGTGATCCACTCAATGCAACTGGGGTTTCTTTTTAAACTGGTTAGAACTAACCCCTTGATTATCTTATGATTTTTTTTCTTTTTATTCAAGTACACGCAGCAACAAAAGGTGAATGGGGGAGGTAGTCTAGATACATCTGCAGATAACGGTAGGGAAGAGAGAGCAGACAGATTGATTAATGACGCCCACCCCTCAATGGCCAAAGACCCCCAGCCAGTTTCTTCATCTCCCTCTCTCTTCTTCAATTCTCCATCAGAAAAGGAGGGCTTCTGGGCTTGGTGAACCACTCCCAACAATCAAGATCATGGGTTCAGTGCCACAGTAGGCTCCATAATTATAATAAGACCCTGTAAGGGGTGGGGGATGGGGATGCACGACCTGCCTACTACACTGTACCAGATGGATCAATAGCTATGAAAACATATTGAAAAAGAATGAACTAAAGTATATACCATTACTCCCGGGAACTGAAGACAGACTTTGATTTCAGAGTGATTTCTAAAATGTATTAGAGAAGAAACAGAAAGAAAATTCTGCTTTTAGGGCATGGAATGAAAAAGAGGAAAAAAAATAGCTTTTTCCGGTTCTTTAATGGAAAACTATCAGGAAGGATGTGTGTGTGTGTGTGTGTACGTCTTCAGAACAGCAACTATAGCATATAAAGACCATATTACTTCAAATGTCTATAATTATCTAGACTCCTGGAGACTTCGGCTACTCCTCGTCTATTTCAGCACAAGGATAATGGAAGATGACAAACTAAAATCACACCACGTATCAATAGCAGGCTGGGACGAGTGAGCACATCCCTCCAACCCTCGGAGTCTGTTTTATTGCAGCATGTGTTAAGCCCCAACTGAAAAAGTGGTGAAGAATGGCTTGTCATAGCATTTATTAGAGTTGATGGAGTGTAGACAGTCTTTTCAATAAGGCTTTAACACACTGTTATGCACCACAGTGCATTATTAATGAAAAGGAACGCACGGGACTTGCATCAGCTTTTCCCCCAAGTCATTCTGACATTAAATTCAAAATCAATTCTGCCTACCCCGGCGTGGCAAAGGGTCAGAGATAAAAATGCTAATTTGTTTGTTGTTTACCAGAAACTTAAGCTTATCACTCAGAGAAGTCATCGAGAATCTCTTCTGTTGTACTGAATCGAATAAGAGCATCTTTTTAAAGACGGGATCAGAGCAGGAGGCAAATGTAACAGAACACAAACACGTCGCGCCCTGGTTTGCATGTGACGAGAGGATGGGACCCAATTATCCCCGACTGCAAGAACAGAAAGGAGAGACACCGAATGCAGATGGGCTGGGGGCAAACTCCTCATTCAATACTTGAGTATACAAATGGAACTAATTCACTCTCGAGGGGTTATTAAGTAATTGAGCGCGATGGTACGGGTACCAGTAGAGGAGGAATCCTCAACCCGCGGAGAAGAAAATAAACATATTTTAGAGTGACACAATCCCCTCACTCACTCAGTCATCTCAGTCAAGCATCTCACTTAATCCAAATAAAATAGAATTAAGAATGACCTACCGCAAGCAAGGAACCCTGATAGAGACAAGCACCTGTGGGAGGAAAGAACAAACAAGAATTAGAAAACAGTGCGTAACAAACCAATAGTCACTACCCCGGCATGCTTATTTCTTAACTCCACCACTTTCAGACCTAGCTAACGACTTTGCTTTAAAGGCTCAAAGTTCTTACCATAGGAGAATAACCCCTTCCATCAGATCAACTCTTGCAGACATGTGACAAAGTGCACGATTAAAGCATATCATTTGGATTTTCAAAGAAATGTCTTTAAACCTCAACAATATGGCTGCCTAAAGATCTGAACAAGGAACACATCAATAGACATACTAACACAGGCTTGACAAAGGAACTGTAGGCATCAAAGGGATGCTCAGAGTAGGAGAGGTAGTCTTCCCTCGGGGAGGGAGAAGTCGGTTATCCAATACCAAGTGGTCAGTCCTGAAATCATGTTCATGCAGGCATCACTGAGCAGGCTTAGTAGTTTGTGTGTGAGTGAGTGTGTGTGTGTGTATTTGTGTGTGTAAAACAATAATTAGAAAAGAAGAGACCAGGAATTTGAGGGCGTGCAGAGAACTGGTGGAGGAAGAAAAGGGAAGGGAGGGAAGTCATATGACTATATTTTAATAGAAATAGATGCATGTATAGCGGCACAGTATAAATAAATGTTATTATCTATGTGCTCTGTCACAAAAGCTTCCATAATCCACTCTGAATTTATCTATCTAAGCCATTCTTTCATTCTTTGCTACATAAATTCTCCAGATCAACTCAAGGAGCCAATTTATTCCATAGTAATTTTCACGTCTCAAAGTTTCTTTCAGTTTCAGTTCCTGTGGAGGTGTATTTGGTCTCTTGGGGGTTCGTGCTCCAGGTCCCATCCTTCTCCTCTGAACTCATAGGCCTCCGTGCCCGAATTATTTTGTCGGATCCATTCTTGATACTTTCCTGGGGCATCCTATTTGTCTTGTTGCTGCTATTTGTTTGATTGCTTTAGGTTTGTTTGTTTTGAGACAAGGTTTCCCTGTGTATCCCACATTGGCCTCAGCTTCTGGAGAGCTGGGATTGTAGGCCTCTGACCATATCCACCTCAGTACATGAGCTCAGGAAAGGGGCTGCCTCTATGTCTTTGAACTTCTTTCCAGCCTGTCCACATAATCGGCATTCGCTGGGTGACTATATAAACACAAAGACACCTATTTCACGCCTTTCGCTTAGCACGGTCTTCACTGGGGAGGTTAAGCCACGGTGTGGGGGCACCACAGATGGAAGCTGTTTGCAAAGCACTCTCCTACCGAGCCCCTGACCTCTGAAACTCTTCTCGCTCTTGCTTTTCCTTGATGGGCTGCTTATGAACCGATACATCTTTGTATTTTCCAGTCATTAGATGCCAAATGAAAAAAGAAAAAGATAATCTGTTCTAAAGGCAGAAGAGGGGAGAATCTGACTCGGGGTGCTCACATTCTGAACAGCTAGCACAGCAGAAAATGAGTCTATGTTTTAGAACCATATGAAGTCGCAATCCTAATTTTAAGCAGCATACACACATTTTCCGGTGATTTCTGAGCAACACAACAGGTGTCCTTTAACCTGCGAGCAGCGAGCAGCGTGCAGCACACTCCCAGCGAGCCTCACAGCAATTGAGACACCAAAGAGAGAGCAAAGAGTGCAGACAGAACACAGTGGAAACACGCAGACACAACATGGTGAAAGCGCAGACACACATGGGGGAAATACGGAGGAAGTATGTGCAGACACACATGGTAGAAACACATGCAGACACAACACGGTAGAAACACGTGCAGACACAACACGGTGGAAACACGCACAGATTCAATACAATGGAAGCATGTCATAACAGGGCATGGTCAGTTTCCAAGGAGGGATGGACACGTTTATCATAGGACATATCCCCACAGATCCTAAGAAGGCTAACTTCTCAGTAGAGAGCTGGCCGGCCTTTCCTGTCAATCACAGAACTAACAATCTTTAAAGGAAATGAGAGGAATGTTTACACTTGGGTTTGGAAGCAAGATCTCTATAGGTAAATTTGCTGAGATGACTTATGTCCTTGACATTCAAATAAGAAAAACTTGAGATAAAACCTTGAGGGAAAATTCATCTCAACTGACCTATTTCTAAGAAATTTTGTCCTGAAGATAGTATTTCAATCTATAATATGTTAAAAAGAAAAGAGATATATGTATGTATAAATATTAAACAATCATTGTATCTGGAAGAAACATATACCTCAACAATTCAGTTTGAATCACTTGTGTTTGTGTGTGTGTGTGTGTGTGTGTGTGTATCTAAGTGTGTGCACTGCGATGCACATGTGTGCATGTGGAGGCCACAGGTCACCCTCAGGTACAGTTGTCATTACGTGGGTACTTTCTATCATGTGTTTTAAGACAGGGTCTCTCACTGACAGGGAATGGCAAGCAGGCATGGCGGGTGACTGACTCCACCTCCGTAGCACTGGGTATCGAACTCAGGTCCTCGTGTTGGCACGACAAACACTTTATCAACTGAGCTGTTTCCCCAACGAACAATACATGGGGGAGGGGGTGAGACAGGGTTTCTCTGTAGCTTTGGAGCCTGTTCTGGAACTAGCTCTCGTAGACCAGGCTGGTCTCGAACTTACAGAGATCCGCCTGTCTCAGCCTCCCAAGTGCTGGGATTAAAGGCGTGTGCCACCACCGCCTGGCTAACAATACACTTTTAAAATTTTACCAGCACTATATTCAGGACTCACAAGAATGGGTTTCAGGATGGTATTTCTACGTGTGCGCATTCCATGCCTTGATCCTAGTTGCTCCTACTACCTGCTCTCGCCCCTCTTCCTCCCACTCGTCCCGTTTTCTTCCCAAATGGTCCCCTTTCGTTTTCATGACTACAATCACTTTCGAAGTTATTTAAACACACATTTACTTATGTCTGATGCTTAAAACGTACAATGATGTTTTTAAAATTATGATGGAGATAATCACCACTTAGGTACAATTTAACAAAATTGAATCATTTTTTCAGACTATTAATCTCTTAATGGCTAAACAATTAAATATCTGTGACATATCCAGGTTTTCTTTTACTTGACAGACAAAATTATATGCACTTATCATGCACATCACGATGTTTTCAACTGTATGTAACCTTTAAAATAATCTTATAAATTTCAACTTTTAGGGGGGAAAAAAGACACTATTTACCCTTTAGAATAAACCATTCTCCCATACAATCATATGATGTGGGAGTGTCATATATCAATCTGTTGATTTCATTGGTTAAGCAATAAAGGAACTCCTTCGCCCTGATAGGTTAAAAGATAGGTGGGAGGAGTAAACAGAATAGGATGCTGGGAGGAAGAGGAAGTGAGCTCAGACCCGACAGCTCTGCTCTCTGGAGCAGAGACGCCAAGCTCTGCTCTCCCAGGCAGCTCCAACCCAGGATGGACGTAGGCTAGAATCTTCCTGGTAAGCGCACCTTGGGGTGCTTACAAACAATTATTAGAAATGGGCTAGTCCAGGTGCGAGAGTTAGCCGAGAAGAGGCTGGATATAATGGGCAAGCAGTGTTTAAAAGAATACAATTTGTGTGTTGTAATTTCGGGCATGAGCTAGCAGGCGGCCGGGGTGCTGGGGACGCAGCCCTGCCACTCCTATTTCAACAATCATAGAAAGCAACTTTCCAGGAAGTGCATGATTGGGTACTGCCATTGTCATGTGGACATCACAGAGGATGCTGACACAAACTCGAGCACAAGACACACCTACGCAGCATAACCTCCAGAGCCAGTGCACACGCAGGCCACCACTAGCCACCACGTCTTTACAGGGTATGTGACTGCAATGTTAGTTCTGGTCTCCATCATGTTGTCTTGCAAAATCAGCTTCTTTCCAAGGCTTGTAAAGAAATCCAGCACCAGAAGAACTAAGCAAAGCCCATTTCCGGAAGTCTGGATAGACCCTAGAGGCTCACTGCAACAGGAAAACACTCAGCAGTCTTGAGGATGGCCCTACATTTACACTTGTTCGAGCCAAACATCTGGGACAGATCCAAGTCAAACAATATGTAGCTGATAAATTCTATCATTAGAAAACGAAACAACTCAATGTGGGTTACTCCACGATGTGCAATTCCAAAAGAAATTAGCTTTGCCCTCTGAGGGCTTCCCTAAAACGAACAGTGCTACCCGGAAGGCAGCCGCCTGCATGAGTCTCCATTAACACACTTTCCAAAACCTCATTTCTACTCTCCGGAGAAAAGAAAACATTACAGTGTGATGCCCAGTGCCATCAAACATTCATCATCACCCAAAGCCAGACGAGGCCAGCCAGAGCAAGCGTATTTCTTCTACACTGTGGCAGCCTGCACACCCACCACCAGATGAAGCTGGAATGTTGTCTGGCAGTGGGTGCTGGGTACATCTCCTGGCACAAGAAAAGCAGAGTCCCTTGGAAATTATAATGTATAATAATTTAATATAACAGTCCTTTATGAGGTACCTGCAGAAAACTTAATATTGTTAGGGAGATTTTGAGATAAAAAAATTTTAAGATGCTTCCATCTAAAAACTATTAGCCACTAAGATAGTGGTTGGTAACTAAGTTGATTAAGTAAATCCAACAGACACAAAGTGTCAGGCTTTGGGTACCAGTTTCATCCTTGATGAAAACTTTGCATCTTGTAGGGAAATTCTTAAAGGGGATTCTTACAGGAAGGTGAAACATCAGAATGGCCCAAGAAGAAGTAAAATACTGCAAGGGACACTTCTTAAGACAGGAAGTAAACTCGACATAGCTTCAGGAAGTCCCTGAAGCTGACAGATTCACTAGGTTCCATTCTTCCCACTAGCGTATAAAGAGTAAAGACTTCTGAATCGTAGCCAGAAAAGCCAAGTTATAAAGGAGAAGCAGAGACCCACCAAGGAGCCTGAAAGAAGCAGAGGCAAAAAAAAAAAAAAAAAAAAAAAAAAAAAAAAACCTGCCTAGAAGAAGCAAAAACCAGCTGTATTTGCCTAAAAAGGACTCAACTGA